GTTAAAGACTCATAAAAATCTATGATTCCAGTACCCACAGAAGTGTTAATCTGTCCATGGGTGGGAAGTTAAAGCAGTATCTCATGACACATTGAAGGTATGATTTACTGAGTGAAATTAAAAACATAAGACAGGTTTCAAACAAGAGGAAGTCAGCCAGAAAAATCAAATGATTCCATCGATCCATCCATTTTCTATCCTCTTTATCCTATACAGTGTCGTGGGAGAGCCGGAGTCTATACTTGACATTTCTTGCATTTCCATTAATGCCACAAAATTGTAAAAACAGTCAGATAACGTTTTATGTAGCAGTAGAGCTGTAAAGGCGCTCATCATAGAAACCAGTGTGGATAACACACTGTGACAGTCAAGAAAGATTATTTTATTCATTACAATTAAAAATCTTTAGAGGTCCACAGGTGGGTCTCAACAATTTCAATAAACTGATTTTAAGTACAGAACCTCAAGCAAAAAATCAAGTCACTTCAAAAACTGATCTTAAGAATATTATGCCAGCTGAGCAGACAGACTACAGTGTTCACTAGTGTTCACTAATTGTAGGTATTTTACAATTAATACTTCAGTAAGTTGTAATTAATTTTACAATTAAAACTACATCAAGAATAGCTATCACAAAAATAAAGATGAAAGAAAGTCGTGCTGTAATCTATTTTGCATAATGGCATATAAAAATCAGTGAGTTCAGAATTTTAATTTCCACTAATCCAAAACACTGGAAAATAAAGGAAGAAGTCTTTGAATGAATGAAAAGCAGATGAATGAAAAATAAAATAGCTAGTTTGTGCAATATAAAGAAATGCACATTGTTGGAACAACAGCAGAGGGAGACAAGACAAAAACAAAATAGCTTAAGAGAGGATGAAGAGGAAAAGCTGCATTAACTCAGATGTACAGTAGACAATATGACTTTATTATTGTCGATTTAACTCATTGACCAAATACATTTAGCTTTCTTTAATATGGTTTAAAAACCCAAACATGTTGCCTTGACTTAATTTATTCTGTAATTAACTTTGCCCAACAAGAATCTCTTTCAAATATTTTTCCAGAGATGATAATTTTTGTTGCTTTTCTGAACCAGGAGTAAAAAAAAGCATAAATAATGGGGTTACAAGCAGAGTTTAAATAGCCAAACCAGAATGTTGTGTCCATCAGAATAGGTGGCACAGTATACTCAAGAATAGGATAAGTGGAAATACAAACAAAAAAAGGAGTCCAGAGGAAAACAAACACCCCCACTACTATGCCTAAGGTTTTTGCAGCTTTTCTCTCCTGCTGACTTGAAATTTCACTCTTGTTCTCTCTAGCATCTTGAATTTGCTGTGTTATATCTTTGATAGACCTAGCCTGATGTCTGGCTACTAAATATATTTTAAAGTAAATTCCCAGCATGATAAATGCAGGAATGAAATATGAGAACAAAGAGGACAGAGGTCCAAAGAATTTACTGAAAAACACAATGCATCCTCCTACACAGTCAATATATTTGTAATAATATTCCTCAGTGCCTTTTATATTCAGCTTCAATAAACCCACCGTAAAACCAAATATTCCAGAAACTATCCAGCTGATTATGATCATCATAAATATGACTTCAGATGTGATTTTGGTTTTGTAACTCAGAGGGTTACACACAGCAAAGTAACGGTCAATGGAGATGGAACACAAGTGGAATATGGAAGCTGTGCAGAGCATCATGTCAGTGGCCGTGTGTATTTGACAAAACAAACTTCCCAGATACCAGCAACCTTCAATATAAAAAAACATTGTATAAGGCATGATGAGCACTCCCAACAAAAAATCACAAACTGCCAATGAGAGAATCAGATAATTTGTGTTGGTATGAAGTTGTCTGAAGTATGCAATTGAAAATATGACCACAAAGTTTCCACACAATGTTGTCAGTATTATTATTATCATAATAAAATACAATATAATTCGTAAGATAACTGGTTTGATTACTCTTGTACAGGAGCCAGCGATGGTTTCATAACAGAGTTGTATATCTGAATTCTCAGTAACATTGAAGTTCTGTCTGATTGAGGAACCCATCTCTTCTACTGGTGATCCCTGAAAAAAGGCATGGTACATTTGGAATTCCTACAAAATTAATTAAGTTTTTAGTGAAGGTTTCCATGTTTTCTTGCAACTAATTAAGGGAAGTAATTGGTTGGGAATTGAAAAGAAAAATTGTCAAAGCATATTTTGATGAAATACTGTAATTCTTAATTTATTAAAATACAGTTTATTTTTTCTGAATTAGAAAATCAGAATTAGAATTCAGAATCTGAATAAGAAATCAGCAGATAGTCTAGAAAGAGTCTGTCCCCAATAAAAAATAAAAATACAATTTTCAGGCTGTTTCCTTTTTAACTTTTATGTGAAAGTGGCAGAAGTAAGAAACAATTTTAAGAGGTGATCATTTACAAGATGCCTAAGTATTGTTTCTCTAAAACAAATGTTTTGGATATTTGACAGTTGCTTTCCAGAACTTTGCAATTAAAGAAGTGTGTTTTTCAAAATTTGAAAAGTAACTCTCCTATGATCATGCTAACTAAAAAAAAAATCTTCCAAAATAAAGTTGTAATTTGGAATCGTTTGAAATATGTATGTTCATATTTCCATTATTTGCATGCCTTTATATTGTAACTTACTTTTTCTTATCATAAGCTATAATGTATGTTTGGAATCTGTTCATGTAGAACCACTAATTCTGTTAACTACAAAATAATTATTTTCAACACTTACCCTCAGTATTATCTTTTGATGCAGCTGTTGAATTTCCTGCATTCAGATCTTTATAAATCTTCACGGTCTGCTAATGGTGCCCAAGGTGTACTCAATGGAGAATTATGACTGTTTTTGAGAACAATGTAAAGGTAATTTTCACCTTAGAGAGACTTGCTTTCCATTGTCAACAATATCATTAGCTAACCTGATATTGTGTGTAAAACTGCACATAGCCCTGTGAGACACAAGCATTAATGAAATTGAGAAGGTATTATAATTTGTCATAATATCCCATACAATCAAAGGAGCAATATGTCTGGGTTAAAGTATTTAGAATGAAGGATATAAATTTTGAATATTTAGCAAAATATAGCCAACATATTGCTAGTTGAATGAATGCAAAGCACCAAGTATGCCATTTTGGGAAAATTGGCAATAAAATGAAAGTAAAAAAAAAGTATCCCTATCCTTCAGTTCACGTTGATTTAGCAAGAATATAATGTAATATAATGACCAGAGTATTCGCACAGAATGAAGCCTACACACCTTTGATGTGCTTAACCACGTTTCTTGAACCTCTGCCCATCTAAGACATAACAGCGAGAGATTTGAAACTTTAAAACAATGGGGTTTTAACACCCAGGGTAACAATTAGGAAGGGATATTATAGCCTACTGTGGATAACAGAGATGTAAGGGGAAAACAATAAGCACCAGCAACTATTTACAAGGGTTACTCAGTAACGCACTACAACTATTTACACTGTCGGTCCCAGGTCCACGAATCCAGGGCCCCTCCCAAGATGATGCATGTTTGGGGCAGAGGACTTTATGGTGGCACAGGCTGTACACCCAGACTAAGTCTCCGGGCTTGAAGGTGCATGTCATACTGCCACTATTGCCGGAAGGTGGATCCTGGGAAAGATGTGCACCCATTACATGTGTTGCTGCAGGTCCCAGGCATAGTCCGGGTTGGCTGGTGGCGCAGGGTTGCCCCCATGTGGTGACCCGTAGGCCAGGTCTACTAGGGTGCGGATCTCTCTCCCCAGCATCAGGGATACCGGGGTGCACCCCTTCCTAGGGGAAGGTGGTGGTCCCAGTCACATTGGTGCCTGGAGACCAGGGTGGCCAGCTGGTTCAAGAGCATTCGATTGAAGCGCTTAACCAGCCTGTTGCTCTGGGGGTGAGTGTCAGCAGCAAGCAGCACCTGCCAGTACCCACAGCGGAGACCCAGCGAGCTGAACCAGGTTGACCTGGCTATAAAGTCCATTGCATCGTTGATCCTGGGCAATGGGTCCGAGTCCTTCAGGGTGCCCTTGTTCAGTTTTTTTATAGTCCACACAAAATCTCCACGTTCCGTCCTTCTTATGGACCAGGACAGCTGGAGCTGACCATGGGCTGCTGGATGGCTCTATGACCCCTGCTCCTGCCATCTCTCTGATTTTCTCCTTGGCTGCAGCTCTCTTTGCATGGGCCCTCTGCTGGGGCGGAATGCGAATGGGTTGAGCTGGTATCGATGGCATGCTGAATGAGGGTCATCCATGAGAAGTCCTCATCACTTGCCGTGAACAGATCCTTGTTCTCGGTGATAAGTGGTTGTAATTGCCACTGCTGGGTCCGGGTGAGACCAGCGCAGCTGTGCTGCAATAGATCCCCGATGGTAAGCTTGGGTTCAGACAGTCGCTTGGCTGCGGCTCCCACCTCAGTGGGCGCCTCTCCGGAGGCCCCTTTTGGCGACACAGGGGCAAGGTCTGGCACACACACACCACAGGTCACTCCCTCGGCGGACCACAGTATCCACCGATGCTGCCCTCCCTGCCGTCCGCTTCGGCAAGTCTGCTCCTCGCGTCCCCCGCCCAGTTTGCCTAGTGATGGTGGGTGTGCAGCCACAGGTCGGTGATCTCTCATCCAAGGGGAACGGGGACCTTTGGAAAGGCCACTGCCTGAGACCACCAGTCGCGCCAGAGAGATGCTCAAGTTCTGCCTTCTCCACGAAGGCGTCTCAGTTAGTGGTCCCATTTTGAGGACACCTGGCGTTTTCTCGGAGTCCGCTTTGTGATGCCTTTCACGCTCCATTCTGTCCCGCAACTGCCATCAATGTAATGGGTGTGCCTTTGATGCGCAGGCATCACGTATATTGAACCTCTGCCGGTCTAAGACATAACAGAGATTTAGAACTCCAAATCAACTGGGTTTTCACACTCATGGTAACAATTAGGAAGGGATACGATAGCCTATGGTGAATAACAGAGACGTAAAGGGAAAGCAATAAACACCAGCAACTATTTACAAAGGTTACTCAGTAACACACTACAATTATTTACACGGAAGTGTCAGTCCCAGGTCAATGCACTGACCTCAAGTCCAGTCCCTCAGCAGCTGTTCCCAGACAGTTTTGCAGAATCTCTATACTTTCATGACATACTATATTATACATTTTATTGTTTTTATCCCTGTACTTCTGTATCTCAGTGTCCACTTGAAGACCTGAAGACATATTTAAATACTGTATAAGAGTTTAGGAGAAAGTTTCACAAAATAATCATTTCCATTTTTCCTTTTTCAAATAATGTTTTTCACATATTATTACATATTTTATGGTTTCATGCATAATTTTGCTCATTCCAGGAGTTACACCTCAATATGAACTTCCTGTCTCTTGTGTTTTTAACTTAAGTGTTAATTTTGAAATGCATGCCTATGATGTGTATGCATGCCTTGTAAATAAATTATCTTCACAGAGGCTATGATTCTCTTATTTGGTGTTGTTGTATCTAGTCCTGTCTTGACATTGTCATATGGAGCTCTCTGCACTTAGTAATGGAGCAGGGCAGACTCGGAGAATTAGGGGTTCTTTGGTAGATACCTGGAGGGGTCAGCAAGGTCAGATCTTTAACTGGGAGATTGGGGTTGCTTTGTATTGAGGAAAGTGTGTTTTCCTCGTTTTTTTATTTTAAATCAATAAAAGCTTTTTCATGACATTGATCTTCTTGCTATTGCAATTATAAAACATTTCAGAATGGTTGCAAAGGAACAGGTAAAGGTTTATTCAATGCTGAAAAGACAAGAGACACACCTCTGGAGCCTTCTTCAGGAGTGAACTATTTCAGAATGGTGCCTTATTTTCCATATGTCAGAGAGATGTGTTTTCTGTAAAGAATAGACGACATTGGGTAATGCTTTTATCCACAGTACATTAACATTTGTAACTATGTACACAACACCCACCAAGGTTTATGCCACATGGTGGGATAGGAGGTGTTACGGATCCAAGAGCAAGGGCGTCACAGTCCAGGAGTGGTGGTCAGTGCACTCCAAAACTGTCAGGCCAGACTGGGGAGGTGCGGCAGGCACCAGGCAGAACAATGCACCCACTGAGGATCAGATCCAGTGCAGAGTCCCAGAGGCAGGTCAGGACAAGGGGCAGGCAGAGAGGAAGCAGAGTCCAGTGGGGGATGCCCAGGCAGTAAGCAGGCTGGCTGGAGGGCAGGGCTGGAGAAGAAGGGAAGGCCCACCAAAGCCAATGGCTATGCAGAGTTTCAGGATGCAGGACTGACCTGCCAAGTGGAGGGTCAGCCACAGCACCCTGTGAGAACAACCCGGTACAGCAGCAGACCCCACCTCCGGCACACACATCAAGGGTGAAGGACATGCCTCACCCACTGTAGAAAGAATGCTGTGTGACATGGGCACCAAGGGACTAGAAGTGACTAACGTCAAATCCAGTACGATGTGAGCACCAGAGACTGGTAACGCAATGCTGGGTTGCCAAAGAAAAAATGACCAGGGCTTAAATCACTCACAGCACCTGATGCAGAATGACACCTCATTACAATCCAGTGCGCTTATATTGTCTTCTCAGCAATGGCCAGGAGAGTGGAGGCGTGGTCCATGGCCACTTCAGCTGAACATTCCCCACAGCTTTGCCATATCGTAACACACAGTTGGTGTTTTATTAAGGTGGTACCTTCTCCAAAACAGAACAGCAGCAATTTGACTTTAGTCTTACTAATTTTTAATAGTCTTTACTATTTATAATATTTAGAAACATTTTAGAGTATAAACATGATCAAATAGGTAAAAAAGCCTCTTAATAATCAGATGGAAACATACCATTAAACAATTATACCGTCATACAATTATATAAACATAAAAACATACAATTATCTTCTTAAAGACAGACATTGGAAACAATATTAATAATGTCTTGATGTTATTGTCCAACTTTGAATGCAATTCCATTCTAATACAATATATTTATTTCCAGAATCATATGTATTCATTTACTTAATTGAGGCAAGCTAGACTGTCGTCAAAATCTCATTTTCAGAGACTTGTGATCATAATGCTGCACTTTGTGTAAATGTTTTGCCCTGTGTTACGTTGCTCATATTGGTGAACTGCTAGTATTCAGTCATCAGATGGTGCTGATGTGGTTAGTGTATCCATTCTACCTCCCTAGCCCTCTCCTCTCTCTCTCAACACACAGTTGGATTCCCTCGGTTTAATTTTCAGAACATAGTAAAATCACAAATTGTCATAGCTGCAGGGCCATGAAAAATGCATTTTGTTAATTATCCCTCAGGTGAAAGAGACAACTATTGTAAATATGACTCTTCGCCATTTTAGTAGTTAGTAATTACTTAATTACTTCTCTTGAAAGAAACCATCGTATCTGCATTAACACCATGACGGAGTAGCTTTTTCCAAACTTACACAACCCTTTGACTTACCACATTCGATATAACCGTTTTATTTCTTTTTTGCTTTGCAACTTTGAACCTGTTCACCCCCATCCATGGCACATCAAGTGCACACAGAAATAGAAATTCACCTTTAACATTGGCATTTGTTTTAACCCAATGTGGTATTTTATAACCTAGTGCAGGGTTTGGAAATCAGTAAAGACAAACAGTACTTTGACCATGTTAATTACTTACCACAGCAGTTCAAATGGAAAGAAGGCCAGCAGAAAAGGCAGTTACTAGCTGTATTCACTGTCAGGTAATCTATACAATCCCGTTCAGAAATGTTGTTTTCATGTTAAGACTTTCATTTTTTAGAAGTAACATTCCATGAGATCCTGGCATGTGTCAAAGGAGTCTTCATAAGCTATCCTTTTCCACTATTCTATCCCTAAAATAGCTGTACTGAAAGAATCAATGCTAGAGTAACACATTTAAATTGATGCTTTGTATTTTTATTTATGTGAGAATTCATGCTACAATTATATTCATAATTGATTAGTAATCCAAGTCTTTGCAGTACATTATTTTGAAAATATTTGTAGCACAACCAAACAGAAAATGAGCTACATTGATTTTGGGAACACGGAACACTGGTGATTTTATTCAATTACTTTCAAAGAAAGTTGAGTCTTCTGTTAAGGGCACTGTATTTATATAGGACTTATACAAATTGGTCATATTAGGTACAGCAGTTAAACTAAATTCACAGTATTTATTTCACAACCTGTCTGGATTATTTTAGTATTACTCAGACTGAAAAATAGTTTAAATAGTAACTTTAGTACTGATGTGAGTAAGGCCCGCTGGGAAACAAAGGGTAGGAGATATGAGTTATATAATTTATAAGAAAAAGACAGGAGAGGCTGGACATGGCAGAAATTGTTAGACGTCACTGAGCAGGCAAGAAAATGGTTGGTGGCATGAGGGCGCTTTTTGTTCAAAATTTGCTTGCTTGGAAGAAAGGATCCTAAGGTTGAAAAATATATAGGGTTGAAGATAGTATTACACTACAGTTAGATTATTGTGTAACGAGGTACCAGGACCAGACTAAAACGAACATTCACTGGAAGAAGCAGGGCCTAGTAAAGTACAGGAAAGGGGAGCCTGGACCTCACTGGGAATCCAAGTGGTCGTTGGCTGGCTTGGCAGCCTCTGGGGCTTGAAAACATGAATGGCCCTGACTTCCTGAGAGCTGCTTGAGGGGCACTGCCTCATGACTGATAGCTACAGTAGGCCCTCACTAGACAGAGAGGAGGAGAATATGTGGGCAAACTATGTGGGCACAGCCCTACTCTGTGAATACTAGCAATGGATAAATGGGCAATGTATTTAAATTAATGACAGACAAATGTAAAATATTTATGTAATGGTAGAGCTGAAAAAGCACTTATAATTTGCAAGTATAGAAACCAATGTGAATTACAATTTTCAGCAGTTCAGGAAAAATATTTTATTCATTGCAATTGCATGTTTTTGAAGTCTACATTTGAGAATCAGTAATTTGAATACATTTATTTTAAGTACAGACTCTCAAGAGAATAGTCAAGTCACTCCAAAAACCGATATTATAATATTACTGTATGCCATCTGACAAACTATGGGCTGTGATTAAGCATCCTCTAATTGCAGATGTTTTACAATTAATACATTTAAAACCACAGCCTATCAAGATAAACTATCACACAACACAAGAAGAAAAAAGCAGTGCAGTTTCTCATCTTGCATAATGGGAAATAAAGAAAAAATCAAACATTATAAACTGACCTCTCTCTTCCTGAAAATATCCACCTATTTTCTCACTGATTTGAGCAATACATATTCACGAGGGAGCCGGAGTCTATCCCTGCAAGCAACAGCACACAAGGCAGGCTACACCCTGGATGAAATGCCAGTCCATTGCGGGACAGACAGACACAAACACATGCACACACTCCCTGCAGGGCACAGTTTCCCAGAAGCCAATTCATCTACCAGCATGTCTTTTGGACTGGGGGAGGAAACTGTACTAGGAATTGTCCTTTTCTCTGTCATGCAATAAAATGTTGGGAGCAGTTACTGTATGTGCTCTTGAACATATCCTACACCCAGGATATGCTTCAAACATCTCTAGCTTTACAGAATATTCAACAGGATAAGCGGTTTGTTAATAATGGTTTTACTGCACTTTTTAATTTTAATGCTTTTTTTTCTCATGCTACCTGTGAATGACATTTTAAGTCACATTGCATATTTGCTTCTAACATTAAATATTGTTGAATATTTTTTTTGAATTGTTGAATATTTTTTAATATTCACAGGGAAACAAAGGAAAACCCAGAGAAAGCAACTGTGTAGAGCTTCCAGAACAGCGTAGGTGTAGAAGCATTGAGAAAACTCACGCATTTAACTGAAGGTGTTCAGTGGTTACAATGGTTCACATATTAATATTCTCTTCGTTTCCCTTTACTGTTTGCCAGTTGTTTGTAAAAGAACAGCACACTTTTTAATTTGTCGCTGCCATTTTAACCATTTTTAAGATGTTTAATTTAAAACTTATCCTCTCCGCCACAGCGTTGCCCCCCACCTTATGTAAATAAAAATACAATGCACTAAATCCACATGACTGGATGCAAAGTAATAAAAAAATGTCACGAGTGACACAAGTGTCCAGGAACTACTTTGTTAAGAAATATCTAGAAGTCCTTGTATGATAAAGTAAACGAGGAACAGTGTTTCATTGCACGTAATGTACTATTATCCCAGAGGATAAGTAAAAATGATCTGGTCCCTGGCCACACACTTCATATCGTAGTTTGTTTCTTATGGAAGAAATGTAAATATAAATTTTCATAAGACAGTAACATCTTTATAGATTTTTTTATTAAAATCATAATATGTGTCGGCCATTGTTGTTTCGGCATTACATTTCATAAGATATGACTTTTCCTACAATAGGAAAGCAGAGATTGAGTTCAGCTGAAGAATCATTTCCAGCACATAGCCCGCCAGAGGATTCTCTCCTTGTTTCATATACCATACAAAAGGGAAACAACAGAATTCATCATACACATTATTTCAATACATGAAAATAATCACATACAGTAGCAAATATTCTAAGCATTTATCATTATAAGATATATACATTCAAGTTGCCATTTGTTTTCTGTCCTCTCACAATAGGTGGGGGTCTGTGGACCTTCCCTATGACTGCCAGTTCACCAAGTAGCAGTGCTGCATTTAATTTAAATTACATATTTACATTGAACTATATGGTGATTTCATATGATGTTCCCTATGCAGTATATGAACCTCAGGAGTAGTATTCCTTCATTTAAACCTAATACATTTAATGTATTAGATACCTATAAAAGGCATTGGTCATAAGACAAATTAGCATATATTACATTAGAAAAAATAATGTACATTTATTACATAATATATGTATATTTTGAAATACACAAAAGTGAGATCTGATATATAAGATTCAAATATATTGTTTTTAATATTCTTACAAAATATACAGTATATGCAACATATGTATGAATACACATTGTATTGTCAGTTTTGTGTAATTTTATTCCTTCATTTCATTATGAAAGTCAACTGAGAGTGAATTCTCACTTACAATAATGAACTGGAGACCCAATTATACAGCAGGAAATGCTGCGGAACAATTCTAGTGAAGTACTCAGGGGTACAACAGCAGCATCCCACCTGAGCCTGAAACCACAACACTCCAGTCCAGAGCCCTCGGCACTAATCCACCCTACACTATCAAGGCAGGCTAATTTGACTTGTGTGAAAAACAAAATGCATGCCCTGTTGTTTTGTAGTTTAAAGCATAAGAATAACACATTCTTTCAACTGCAATTTTATTAATTCATCATGGGACATTTTTGTAAAAGCACTTATTCTGAAAATAACTTGGTCCGACAAGATTGCGGGTGAAAGACTTTACCAAACACTATAATCCTCAGTGCTCTTCTGAACCAGCTGTAGAAAAATGCATAAACTATTGGATTAAAAGCAGAATTTAAGTAACCAAACCAAACAAGAGCATCCACCAGCAGTGGTGGGACTGAGTAGTCAATGAAGGGATCCATGGTGTTACAGACAAAAAATGGCGTCCAGCAGATAAGGAAGACTCCCATTACTATCCCTAGTGTTTTTGCAGCTTTTTTTTCTCGTTGACGCTGTACTCCAGATTTATGTTCTTCTGCAATTTGAAAATGCTGTGTCATATCTTTTATAGATCTTGCTTGACTTCTGGCTACCAGGTAAATCTTCAGGTAAATTCCCAACATGACAAAGCCAGGAATAAAAAATGAGATCATAGAGGCAAATGTTCCAGAAAGTTTATTGAAAATCAAAGTGCAGCCTCCAATACAATTTCTATGAGGAGAATCCCCGGCGCCTATTATATTAAGGTCTAAAAAAATCATCCCGTAAGCAAAAATACCAGGTAGAATCCAACTACAAATGATCATTGTAAGGATGGTAAATGGTGTAATTGAGGTTTCGTACTTCAGCGGCTTACAAACTGCAAAATAGCGGTCAATGGAGATGAAGGACAGGTGGAAAATGGATGATGTGCTGAGCATTATGTCAGTGCTGGTGTGTATTTTGCAAAGGAAGTCTCCCAGATACCAACAGCCATCAACAGATCTTATTGTGCTGCAGGGCATTACAAATAACCCTAGTAGGAAGTCACATACTGCCAAAGAGAGAATGAGATAATTTGTAGAGGTGTGCAGTTGTTTAAAATGGGCTATAGACGTGATGACAAGGAGATTCCCACAAACTGTGATCAATATGGTGACCACCATGAACATGTACATAGTAAATCGAATACTGAACGGTCTTTTTAGTCTTGCACAGGATCCACTTAATGACTCATAACACAAGGGCGTGTTTGAAAGCTCACTGATATTGTAGCTCATTCCAGATGGGAGGCTCATTCTTCCAAGCATGATAGAGTCTAGATAGAAAGTACACAGTATATTTAGTTTTCACCTAGTCAAAATAATTTAAACATTGTCATTTTAACAAAAATCTTTTTCAATGAAAATAATTCAACTCTCTTTTTTCTGCTAGGTAGATTTACTGTACATAAAAACTGTTAAAGCAACAGTTAACAACTTAGTATACATACCTTTGCAAGCTGTTAGACCTGACTGAAGAAATTTGGAGAGTCACCGGCAGACGACATCCAGCTTTAGCAATGTGACAAAAACTCAATTTGAATGTAATTATTAAGCACTTTTCACAAATTCAACCTCTGCTGCCTGTGACATTATCAGCCTGTACACTGTCCATGGTGAACTAAAGTATTTTCTTCTCAAAAATTGATTTTTTTAAGTCTCTCAGCCAAATGGATATAAGCCAAATGTAAGCACAGAGGAAATGACAAATAAATTATAAATTTCCATTGGTCTCAAGTTGTGGGAAATGTCCTTATATCTATTTTCTTCCCTACAACTGAGACACATTCTCAAAATATCACAAAGTAGTCTCTGTGGTTTTTTTCTTTACCAAAGCCTAACTTGAAATTATAATGTGAAACACTGAAGGAAAACATTATACATATAAAAATGTCTTTAAGAAGTATACAATTCTAAAACTATGTTTAAACTTTGTTTACAAATTTCCCTGAGAATACTGAAACAATTTTAGCATAAAAGCTTTTTTTTTTTGGTTTTCTTATTAGTTTTTGCCTTTCTTGTGCCATTAATCACAAATAATTGTGATTTTCCAAGAAGGACACTACTATTTGATTTATTTTCACAGTTGTGAAGTAGATACAGTACATAGTATTTATTTTATTATTAATTCATTTTTTATACTTTGGAACCATGGAATAATTTCTACATTTTTTTCTTTAAACATCATGCCATGCCATGTTAAACAAAGCCATTTATTCAAAATGAGAATACTACACATTCATAAAAGATAATGTGCCTTCTTTCTTGAACATTTTGTAGTAAACTGTTATTTTCTATAAAGCCATTTTGCATGGAATGCAAATCTACAGACACTTGATGATAAATAGGCTTGCTCTTATATCACATTATGTTCACAGTCTATATATTCATTATAAAAACACCACTTGCACTGGTGAGGGACACTGCAACTCAGAGCCTATCCTGGAACCACAGAGTGCAAGATATAGTCCTCATAGTATCATAGTAATGAGTTAAAATAACTCTCCTGTAATAGGAATATATTATTTCAAGCTCTTTGAAAACAGTGAGGTATTCATAGTACTTACCATTTAAAGAATTCTGTATGTGGCCCTTATGAAAGATTCACACTTTTTGTGCAAGTTAGCAACATTTATGCAAATATGTTCTACAATATTTGGCTCCTTTTTCTTTATAACAGAGTAAAACATGTATTGTGTCATAATGTAATATTGGTTCTAAGATTGACAACAAATTTTCAACCGGATTGTTGCAGGAGTTAATTTTTTTATTTTATTGTTGAGGCGAGTTTTTTTTTTTAATTCAAATTGTTTTTAAAAAAATAAATAAAATAATTGCATGTAGTTAGAAATTAATGCTCAGCAATTAACAGAGATAGCTCCTGTAACATTAACGCTATTTGTTTTGACAGCAAACAATATTTTTCTTCTATACTCACCATTAGGATTGCTTTTTCAGATCTGTCCAATGTACATTATAGGGATATTTATATACGGTACATTAGACAAATCCTCTTTCCTTGCTTCAACTGTGCCCAGTGGACCCTTCATTCTGTGTACTTTCTGAGCAATCACAAAACTAATTTCTACCTTGGAGAAATATCACTGCTTCCAGTGGCCAACCACTTAGCTCTCTATGGTTAAAGCAAGTTCATTAAAAATAAAACGTGCTCTAATATCTATTTATAGTATGACTCACTTAATTCTAAAATGGGAGAAACGGCGATGTAAAATAGTGAATGTTTCTGAAAGATGTTAAAGCAAATAAAAAACAAATCCGTGTCTCTAGAGACTGTTCTTTCTTTGCTTTCATGTTTCCAGGAAAAAGAACTGCATCAATATAGAAATTAAATTATCCTGCCTCTGCAGGTATATTGTTCCTTAACACGTCAATTTACTCTATTTAAACTACAGTCTTTACAAGCTGAGTAGCAAATTGATTGATGTAAATTACTAATGATAAAATGAGATGGGAAAAGAGGCCATTGACATATGGTTCAGATATCTGATGAAAAGAATATTACCTACAGTTCAGTAATCCTGTTTCTACATGCTGTATCCCCCACTAAACAAATCTACTCTTTTGCAATCCAAGAGCTTTACATGCTGTATATTACATCATGAAAGAAAACCTGAATAAAAAATGGGTTGTTATTTCAAACAACAAAACTTAGTTTATTTAGAAAAATACAGATCAGGCGTCAATGTGAAGATTAGATGTTGTTCCACTACCCACTTTTTATTTTGTTTTCCAGTGAATACAAAAAGAGATGATAATTGTGTTTTTTAATCATGAATGACAAATAGCAGCTGGAAATCCAAATATGTACTGTATTTAACAAACAACTGATAGCTGCATCAGTTAAAATTTCCTCAAAAACCTATTCATATATGGTGCTCACCAGCTGTTCCTTATATAGAGTATTTCCATTTTGGCTGCTTATAGCGCATGTTTCTTCAATAAGAATATTTGTCTTATCGCACATGAAGTTATCCACATGGGATAAGTATTAGTGATATCTGTGTAGCACTGTAGGGCCCATATACTGTTCCTATCTAAAGACTGAACATATGAAGTAATGATACTAATTAAGGTAAAAAATAAAACACTAATAGTACTTCACTGTATTGCACATGTATTGCAGACTTTTACTAACTTTTGTATAATTATACGCTACAGTATATGCTGTTTGTACTGCATTCCAAAATATAAATACAGTAAACCTTTGCCATTGGGAAGGTGAAGTTCCTGAAAACTCTGACTGTACTGTATGTAAATTGTAATTGATCAACTTAAGATTTTCTGGTAAAAATATGGGTATAGTAACCAAATTGGCCTTATTTTTTCATTCACTTCCAATAAATGAACCCAAAAACACAGACTAAAGTGAAATATGATATTATGATATTGAAGGTTTTGAGGTAGGCAGTGGAAGAAGGGAGAAAAGGAGGCTGTCACTGGCTCATAAGGAAGATTGGTTATTTTTCTGTTATCTATCCTGCTTTCCTATGCTCACAAGATTGCCAGTGTTTGTAGCATGCATTTCTATGCATTCCTGTGCTTACAACATTGGCATTGTTCCAAAATTATGCACATTCTCCTACCTCCCTATTTGCTGGAGATACATTTTTTTAAATACAATTGGTCACTTACGTTCATAGCACGCATTCCTATAGAATGGTATAGAAATACATAGTAGCTTTTGTGTTCACTCAAGTATTACCGCACGCTGTATCGTAGTACGTAGGCTGCGTATTCGACACGTATTAAAATAGAAAATATGAAAACCCATCCAGATTTTTCAGTGCAGGGTTCATGTCATATGGCATACCATCTGGCGGTGCTCCGTGTACCACTGGTGGTGCGCGAACCACTGCATTATGTAATTCACTGGCCGAAGATAATCGATAGGTGGCACTTGTGGTGCGTTAGATATTAGTAAAACGATTGCTTTATTCATTCTTTTTCTCTAGTGTGCATGTTTAAATCCACTTAATATGAAATATTAATATGAAATTTTGGTAGCTGAATATAAAAATGGACGTATAATGTAATATAAATGTAATTCACCTAATGTAAAAATGTCAAATTCCAGCAACAAGTAATCAGGAAAGAATTTAACTTTAAATTTTGATTGTGAAAAGTATATTTCACACATACTGTACTGTAGTGGCTTATGTTATACGGTCGCATAAGTAATATACATCTAATGGACATACAGTTTATGGTAGTAGTAGCTGACTTAGTAACTTTGAGTAGCTGAAGTAGTAGTAACTTTGAGAAGTCATGTACTGCCTGCAAAGTAGCTGATTTTGACAAACTTAAACTGCTAATTTTCCTTGAAGAATTTAAAATCTGTCTTCCTGACTGTACTGTAGCTTTCGTTTCATTGAGCAGAAAGTCACCTTGTTAACAGATGAGTTTGTGTTAACAAACTGCACCCTGTTGACTGAACTTTTATCAACTTTATCACCTTTGTCTGTCCGGGGGGTGGGAGTTGAGGCTGAAGTTATTGTTTCTCTTTAACATTTGGTAAGTCCCCAGTAAACCGAGAGACTAAAGTTCGATTATGAAATATATATTTCACATAAATATATTTATCAGTAGTGGGATCTTTAAAGTTAAATTGTTTTCTGATTGCTGAAATTTGCATTACGACAAAATAGATATCCAACTGAGCACTTTTGTTTTTAAAAGACAAAAAACAGCCATACTTTCTTTTTTAAATTAATTTAATTCAACACACTGTATTACACAGTTTACAATTAGTAGAAGTCTAAACAGTATATAATTTAAACTCCATAATTGGAAAAAGATTGTTCCTCAGCATTGACCGGGATTCGAAACCAGACGTTTTCTGGCAACAGCCCCAGTGCTTCTATGCATTTTAATGTTAAGCATTCACTGCTCCACCTGGTGGTTTTACAAAGTAGTGCAGTCAGACCACTGAATATTTTTTTAAATGTGCAGCGCAATGCAGTGCCTCGAGGTGTGCGCTGTGCAATGTACTGCATTATCCGGCATGCATTCTGAATGGCCTGTACCATTCAGACATGTACATATTATATCTTCTTCTTCTTCACATTTTCCCACTTATGTGGGGTCTGCTTGTTTGCACCGATTTTTCCACTTCATACGGTCTGCGGCATCTCGGCAGGTGACTTTTGCGAGGCACACGTCATCTTTCAGCCGATCCAGCCAGCGTGTAAATGGTCGTCCACGGGGCCGACGGCCTTCCACCTTCAATTCGAGGGCGGTCTTTGCCATTGATGTGTCATTGCTGCGGAGCACGTGTCCATACCATCGCAGGCGCGATTCCCTCATTTTCTCCGTGATTGGGGCAACTCTGAATGTTTTTCGCACCCCTTCATTCATGACATGGTCTAGTCTTGTCAAGCCAAGGGTCCATCACAGCATCTTTATTTCCATCGTAGGGAGTGCCTGTTCATGTTTCTTTGTAGTTGGCCAGCATTCAGTTCTGTATAGGGCCACTGGTCTGACCACTGAGCGGTAGACTTTGGATTTTAGGCGTAAAGGGATCTTCTTGTAGCATAGTGCTCCAGTGACCTGCCGCTATTTCATCCAAGCGGCGCTGACTCGCGTCTTGGCGTCTTGGAAGGTAGTGCAGTCGGAGTTGACACATGAGCCTAGGTACTTGAACTGTGTCACTTTGTTCAGTTGGACCCCACCAGCTGCGATTGTGCCATCGGTTTGATCACCGCATTCGAGGTACTCCGTCTTCTGGATGTTTAATTTCATCCCGAATCGTTCAAGGCACGTCTTCCAATCTTGTACTTGTTGTTCGAGGCCGTGTCGCGTTTCACCTGCTATCATAACATCGTCAGCATACAATATCCTCCATGAATGCCTCGTTTGGATATCTTTGGTCACTGTATCCATGCAAAGTATGAATAGCAGAGGAGACAAGGCTGAGCCTTGGTGGACGCCAACATCGATCGGGAAGGTGTCTGAGGTTCCAGCTGCGCAACGTACTGAGCTACTGGCCTTTTGGTACAGGAGCTTTGTCCAGCTGACATAGGCTTCGGGGACGTGGTGCTGTCGCAGCGCCAGCCAGATGAGATCGTGCGGTACTCTGTCGAATGCCTTTTCCAGGTCGAGAAATACCATGTGGATCGTTTTCCTCTTCTTGTGGTGCCTTTCCATCAGTAGGCGGGCTGCGTGTATGGCGTCTGTGGTTCCGCAGTTTTTCACAAAGCCACATTGGTTTGGCGAGATATCGACGATGGTGCTTAGTTGTGCATCCAGCACACGCTCGAAAATCTTCATTGTATGGCACAGCAGCCGGATCGGCCTGTAATTGGAACAGTCATTAACGCCGCCTTTGCCTTTGCAAATTGGCACTGTGATGCTGGTTTGCCACGTTTCCTGGGGTGCCTTTTCCTCAGTGATCTTACTGAAGAGGTCGGCGAGCCATGCTGCTCCTTGTGTTCCAAGGAGCTTCCATACTTTGGCTGGGATGTCGTCTGGGCCAGTTGCTTTGCCACTTTTCATCTTGTTGATGGCGGTGGTTACTTCTGCGATTGTGATGGTGGGTACTGGGCCGGAGATGATATCGGCTGCTGGTAGTGGAGAATGCGGAAATTCCTCGTTGCATATTTTCTCGAAGTCATCCTTCCAGGATGTCTTTTGGCTTCTGCAGCATCTGTCCATTTTCATCTTTGATGTTGATAACATGTCCTAGGTCTTGTGAGGCGCGGTACATGTACATATTATATGAAAAACGTATTTATCACTTAACTCATGTGGTACAGAGCTTTAAGGGAAGAATGCCTACTCCTGGGAACATTCGCTCTGTTAATTTTTTTTTTATGTGATACACATATCCATTAACACCACATCTACCAAGAGCGCTATTGCTTTGACATTCTCACAACTTATCAAGAAGGTTTTTTGTTATCTAGAAATATCACTGATCTTGCACACTTAGCATACCTATATTCTTCACCCTTTCTCATGTGGTTAGGTAACATTTTAATTGGTTATTTAACTACTGTACTGTATACAGCAATTGCTCAACTTATTGTAAGACCGTAACTGTAGGGTGTAGTGTGAAGCTACAATGCATACACTCATCGATACCCAGGAACCAGCTGTTGTTGTGTTAAAATGGCAGAGCAATAAAACAAATATGTCTGTATGGCACATACCTCCTTACTGTCTTCACCCTTTCCCAATCCCTAGTGAATATTACCTCCTCCAATTGCCTGTACATGCTTACACAGGTGGCAGCAATGTCTTGTTTCTCCCGGAAAAAAAGGAGTATAAAAATGGCTCAGAAACATCCCTGCAATTGTGTGACTCCACTGACCTGAAGTGTCATCTTGAACACATGTGCTGGACACTTTTTTTTCTTTTTATTGATGTAAGCTGCTGAAATATTTATTTTTTAAAGTAATTTACTTATACATTATGGGAAAATCTACTTAACTGTTTGTACTTCAGTAAAAAAAAGAAAGCAACAATCTTTTCTGAGTTGCATTTTGAACTGAACATAAAACAAAACAACAATATTGTAAGCTAACTGATTCAAGTGCATCTCAGATAGTTAAGAGCAGTTGGCCATATTAGCAGCACAAAAACATTGTGATCGTGTGATCTGTAGCAAGGAAAGACTATATCTGGTGATATAGCAGGGAATAGGGCTGGCTTTTTGGGGGTCCTAGGCAACATCGCTATACTAGGGCATTAGGGCCCACATAGACCACAGGGTGAGCGCCCCCTGCTGGCCCTGCTAACACCTCTTCCAGCAGAAGCCTTAGTTTTTCCCAGGAGGTCTCACACCTGCTGGTGTAGCGGAGCTAGTGTGGTGACGTCAGCTCCCTCACTGCGCGTAGCAGGGTCCTCAGCTGCCTGGGCTGGGGGAGGTCTCCTTTAGCTCACGCGGTTGGTGCCCTGTTGTGTTACGCTGGAGACCCGGGTTCGCGCCCCAGGTGTGGGGGACGGAACAGGTGGCGGAGGGCACAACCCCGCGCGGAACCGTGGCTATCACACTTCTGCCTCAGTGGGTTGCCAGTTGTGAGTTGTAGAGTGATATGGCTGCTTGATCCAAATGTTATGAAGGTTAGTGCAATAGCACTGAGTTACATGTTTAATTGCATAATTGTTTAATTGTACTATTACTGTAAATACAGTATTTAAACCCATATGCAATGCAAAAATTAATGGAAAAAAGTTTCATTTGATTAACAGCTTATTTTTTCAGCCTGCTCTTTCTCATTTGAAAGAGGAAGTAGATTTGAGAGCAGTAGCAAGTGATAGATCAGGGATCAATTTCTACAGATATAGTTATGGTAAAAAGTTTAAAAAAACTATACAAGTATAGCTATGGTAAACAAGTTAGTTGTCAATAACCACAGCACCACTCTAGTGACATCTCTTTCCCCTATTTCTCTGTTGTAGGAAGTTAAACACATTTCACACAGCTTGAACCCCATCTGCCATTTTCCCACTTCATCTCCTTTGAGTGTCTCTGGTGACCTCCAATCACCCTCCACCTCGACCTTCTCCGCCAGCCACCAAAAATCGCAGAGTCCTGCAGTTGGATTTCTGCCTATCAGCAACTGCAGTTTTGTTGGAGTGTAACAATGCAGAAAATAAAGTGATTCCCCTAAGATGTAAATAGTTTTATGTTTTTGTTACTTCAAGAGTTATTTTATTTGTGTTGTGGTGTTAAAGAATATCACATTCTTCACACATACAACAGGAAATATTTCAAGAGGTTTGCGGTACAACATATAATGATACCATTTTGCAAAAGTATTTTTTTTTAATTAACTCATAATTGACAAAGTCTATTTGTCTAAAATTCTCATTCTTTTGCCCTGTTTGTAGACAATGCCACCTGTCTGCCGAGGAGATTCTTGACAACTTTGCTCTTACAGTTGACAAGACCGCTGTTTGTCGATTCAACATCAGTAGAGCCAATATTTGTGAAGGAATCAGACACACAGCATGCAATCCCAATAATTTAATGCTTGTGAAATTCAGTGGTGTGTATAGAAAGCTATTAGTGCTAATCCAAAAACAGAATTTGTAACATTGCACTTGGATTGTCATCCACAGTATTATATTATTTTTTTCTCTAGTGAAAATGTACATATCTGAGAAATGAGACTTTAATGTGCGACATCTATATATGTCTACAAGAATGTTTTAGAGATCTTTGTAACATGTTGCTTTTGTCAGTGGAAAGAATAAAAATCAAGTTACAAATAAAAAAGAGCTTTGAACAGCAGAGTCCACATTGGCATAGACAAATAACCACTTTGAACAACAGGACCCAGACTGAACTAAAAAGAGCCACTTTGAACAGCGGAGTCCAGACTGGAGTAGAAAAGAGAGAGGCCTACAGACTGAGGCTGTCCCGGTGTACTCACGACAGCGAATGAGATTAAAATAAAGTAAGAAAATGGCCTTCATGCTCTTTCTCCACAATATCCTCTAGGACTGTCACTTTAATAGTCTCCTGTCACAGGGTTAGTTTGCTTTTTCTCTCCATCCAGGTAGGTAGACCTGGACAGTCCACAGTGCTGTTGTTCCAAAAACATTGCTTTACACTGGGGTTCAAGCCTTTTCTGTCTTTTTTCTGTCTAGTCCAGTCTGGACCCCTCTGGCTTTTTCTTCTTTTGGCCTGCACCCTGCTGTAAAGCAGCACTTTTTGTTTTTGTGTTCTTTGTGGCTCCTTCAAACCCACATTGTTACACCAGTTAGAGTAATTTGTTTATCACTACTGTATACTGTAAGTGAAAAAAACATATTTGTTAGAATCTCAAGTTGTTCATGTTTTCATTTACTTGTATAACAGTTCAGAAGTTTGTCCAAAGTTCAAAATTCATACTCACACATAAACATAATGTAAACTTATTTTTGTTTTATTTTGTATTTTCAGTTTTTTCAGAAACACAATATTATCACAGCTGTGAAGTGCTTTATTTTTTTCAAAATGTTTGAAAAAAAATAAAAATTATATGATTTTTCTTAGTGTTAAAATATGAAAACAAATATTCAATCTGTAGTTAGTTTTGTTCTTGAAGAATTGGCTTGAAATATTTGACCAAACACAATCATACCAAGGGCTTTTCTGAACCAGCTGTAAAAGAAAGCATAGACAAGAGGATTAAATGTAGAATTTAAATAACC